ATAATTCATTGATCCTACTCATTTACTCAATTAATAGCGCTGTGAATAAAGTAAAAATAAAAACGTTTTGCAAAAGGCATATAATGAATGACATGTGGCGGTAGAGAAAGTAATGACAAAGTAGATATTTCCAACGAAGCAAAAAGAAGATATACAATTTATTAAATTTGACAAATGCCTCGAACAGATTTTCCTAAAAAATAATATAAAAATTTTAAAGATGTGTAGACGCCCACAATCCAACTCATTAAATATGGATGACAAAGCTGAGCCACTCGCTGTAGATGAATGTTACTCACTTAATCGCGGACTGCATGGAGCAATAAATGTTTTAACTAGGCTATGGAGTGCTGAAGCATTTTAAAACTCTATGACAAACAATTTTATCGGTTTTTATTTTTGTGAGTTATCCGTCTCGATAACTTCATTTATAATAGTTATAGCGTTTCCATCATCACTTTTATCCTCTGATTCGACTGTCGCCACAACCCCATCGCTGCTCATCCCGTTCTTAAATTTATTTTCCCTTACTTCATCCTCGAAAATTGAAAGCTTTTTTGCCATCACATTCGTGTACTCCTTCTCGGCCTTCTTCTCCTCTTCCTCCCCAACTTCCTCTATCGTCTCGGGAATCATCTGTTCTAGGTTTGCTGTACCCTGAGGCATGCTGAAGGGGTGGCCTGAATGCCGCGATCCAGTAGCCAAGTCAGTAATTCCTGGTGGGGTCTGTATCAAGGAATCGGCCAGAACTCGAGCCAGGTCGGACTGAGAGCCTATTGCTTCAGATTCAAAGAGAGAATCAGACCTTAAGTCTGTCCTATAAGGCATCTGCCCAGACTGATAGAGACCGGAATGACGCAAATGACCTTGCTGACCAGATGTAAACAAACTTAACAAGCTAGCTAAAAGGGTGTTAGCGCCAAGGTTAATATCCATTCGAGTAGGACTGCTAGAACCCATAGTATCCACTTCGGCGCCTTCATCTTCAGGTAATATCCAATATGGTCTGGTGTTAAGCATCATGTCCTGGTGCACCGTCTACAGGAAGGAAGGAAAAATCGGCCTTAAAATACAATGTAAAGGCTAGCAAATAAAATGTGAAAATAGGAATTACGAACTATCTAGACGGGCCGAAAGAGCCCACGAAACTGAAGCTACCGTCGACGTATAATAATACACTTTATGAGGATATATACATGCACAAAATAGTCAAGCATTTGCTCAAAAATACAAGATGAATAAAAATTACGATTATCATAGAATTAAAAAAATACGCGCATGGAAAATTAAAGTTCCCCCTCGGAAATCCTTCAAGTTCTCGTCTGATTTAGATAGAGTTGCTTAATGTGAGAAAGAACTGTATGCGAGATATGATTGTCCCTGAGTTATGCTTATAAATTTTCCGCATGCAAAGCTGAATTAAATGGGGCCACAATGCAGTAAATTCCATCAATGAGAAGCTAAACATTTCTTCTTAATCAGAAGTCGTATTAAATGAATAAAAATAGTAAACAAGTTAAAATCAAATTATTTTTCAGATTTCCCTGAATTATACAATTTTTTTACATCATTTCCTTTATTTTATATCTATCTGTCTACATATATATATGTATATATATATATATATCACAAGAAATATAAAAATTACTTGCTTAGACGAGTGCACGGAATTCAACGGGCCTTCGATTTCGCGTTTCGGTCCGCTAAACCCAAAATTAAATGTTCGATTGAATCAATAATATAAATTAAGTAAATTTTGTAAACCGCAACACCAATTAAAAACAGCAAATAAAAATCTTAATCATGAAAATATGAAAGGCAGCATATACAAAATTATTTAATTTGCGAAAAAATAAGTGGAATCATCTGTAAACTATTCATGCAAAACTCACTGGAGAGTTCAACATCATGAGATATGGGGATCAGGACCAAATACGTTCTACAAGGTCTCCATCCAACCTCAAACAAGTTTAAAAAACAAGATAAACCCGATTTTAAACAACTAGAGTAGGCCGCGATCAAGCTTGAGGCCATACTATTTTGGTTTTTATACTTGCTTTTAAAGGACTTAATTAAACTTTTTAAATGTCATTTTCATGATTTGTTCTATAAATCAGGCAATAAGAATACACTTGAATGAAGGAGAAAATAATATTCATTCGCAATTTAACCTAGTGCTCTCCAATGAAGATCCTGATGAACGACATATTAAGATGATTTTGCGAACGACTCCCCAGACAAAAGAGAGCTATATTGCAAGAACTTCTAAGTCACTATCTAGCCTTTAAACTAGGTAGTTTTCATATGAAATATCTGCAAATCTATAAGCCAAAATCATGTATTAAAACTTAAAGGTAATTTTTTTACCAGAGTGATTCGCCTTTAGTATCTATGACATATTGATGAATTTTTAAAAAATGAAATAGCTCTTTGAGCCCCTATATTAGAACATTTAAAATATAAGATAAATTAATCAAAGACATATATAAACTGTCAGAGTTGACGAGCAGACCCATACGAACTAACGCATCGACTATAGAGAAAATAGAGTAGCTATAATGTAATTTAAAATCTAAAACAGATAATCTATTATATAATACCAAACGTTAGTAAAAGGATAATGGAATTTTGCTATGTTTCTATATATGCATGCGGGAAATTTGATAAGTTTAATGGGAATATGCTGAATGGAGATTAACCCAGCAGTTATAAATTAGAAGTTAGAGGCAAAAAGTGAGTTAAATACCAAGCGAAATTCAGGGTTTGCAGAGCCTAAGGCTCGACATATATGAATATCCCTACAGATCTGAAAAGATCCTACAAATATGAAGTCAATATAGAGTCTATTTTCAAATGCTTCTTTGTAAGCATCCATATGCAAATTATAAATATATATTGTCGATTAGATGCACGGATGACTATTTTGTCATCTGGCCTAATAGTAAGGAAAGCTTAGATAGTTTCCTACTTTCACCTAGCCAACGTGAAAGGAACATTAGGTTCACAATGGGAAAGTAAGAGAATGTATGCTTGCCATTTAGGATGTTCTAATCATAAGTTAGGAAAAGATAGATGGGCCGACTTTCATTTCGTATGAAAGCACATGAAGAATAGATTCGTTGGTCGATCTCACCAAATGAGGACGGATAAAGCTCGTTGTACTGCACCCGTTTGGCTTTCAAACGATGTTTATGTTGACGCAGTCCACGAGATTTCCTCCCTCATTTTGGGTAAAAACTGGCTGAGCTTTCGTCCATCATATGATGCACATCATCAGAGCTGGGTGTCATTCTTGTAAGGGACTCACGTTAACACTAGGCCAAGAACACTATCCGGCTTTATCTTACCTCTTATATAGACTCAATTAAGTCAAAATAAAATTAAAAACATAGATAGATCGATATAGAGTGGTTTGGCTAAATAACTTTCATACTGGTCCTGCTACTTTTGTTCGAGTGTGTGCGTGTTTGTATGTGTGTGTGTGTTAGTATCTATACGCAATACCGTAACTAAATCATAGTTGTCAAAAGGCTAATGTCAGACTCTGATCATCAAGAGCTAATGAACCAACAGAAAGCCATGACCGAGACTTCGTAATCCCATGAGCAAGTATGGTAGAGGTAATGAGATATGAGCTTGTAAATATAAAAGTCAAGTTACGAAACCACTTGTCCTAACCTCTCAGTCTAGGGTCATTAACGTTTAACCCCCAAAGAAAGGCAATACTAAGTCTGCGTAATCTGGCAAGTCTGGTTTGTTTGATGA